AGACGGGACGGATCCCGACATTACTGTCGAGATCCTCCCAGCTGCGGGAGCGACAGCTGACTCTGCCTATCTAGAGGCAGAGCCAGATGTACCCGCCCCCTCCTCCGTCCCTTCCTCCACTCAGCGCTGGAGGATCGGAGTGGGGAGGGGGGGAATCCCTGCGGGGAGCCGTGACTGACTGTCACGGCTCTCTGCAGGGAGATGATAGAGACGTGAGTGAGCGACGGTATGTGGTCGCTCACTTCACGATCTATTGAGCCGACGTGGGACAGTTTCATTGTCACACATCGGCTCGAACTATGAGGATGAGTGATTTTCACTCACCTCATAGTTCTCCTTTATGCATATGGGAAACGACAACTCTGAGCTAAAAAGCTAAGCAGTGCTGTCAGCTCTTCTCTGCTCTGCCTTCTGGACTTTAGAACACCACCTTCTTATGTTATGGAAATTAAGAGAGCTAGAGGTGTTTTGTAGTTCAGGGGAGAGTATTAAGCAGGGCTGACAACACTGTTTGGGATTGCAATGCAGCAGAGGCAGAGTTGTCATCTCATTACAAAAAGTTAGTAGCTCAGTGGATTCTCAACATGTGCTTTTCTATTCTGCAGAAATTTAAAAAAGAAAAAACATGGGGAAATGTGCACTGATTGCAGTGATATAGCAGTATTGTTGTCAGCCTGCTATGCAAGATCCTTAAAATGCAACTGAAGTCAAAACTTTTCTTTTTCTAGTTTTGGATGGAGTGGAGAGGGATCTACAATTGTCAGGTTTTTATTGCTGTCTGTGTCCCTGTTAGGGAGATTCAGCCTCTCTATCTGCCCTGGTGACTGTTATTACTGATGGTATTTTTGGGTTGCCATGGGAACAGGAATAAATGTTCCAATGGCTACACTAGTTCTGGTGACCCTGCTGACCACCAGGGGTTTTACTCTTACTTCTTTTTGTGGCTTTTGGATAGGAAGTGTAGCGAAATCTCCCTATTGTGAAAAAAAATACTGACGAGAGTAATAATCCTTCTGTATTCTATCCAAAGCTAAAAAAAATAAAAATGTAAAAAGGTGTCAGTTCTACTTTAAGTTGGCCATCGGGCTGCATATTTGATAGACCTGATAGGCAGGCTGTAGAAAGCAGAAATCACCAGCACTCAATGAATAGTATTCAAGTAGTAAACGTCCATTTATTCGGACATGTCGTCACAAACGAATGGACGTTTACTACTTGAATACTATTCATTGAGTGCTGGTGATATCTGCTTTCTACTGTTGATGTGCACGGTGCCATCCGTGATTATCACTGCGAGCACCATCATTGCAATTTGGGCCATGAACGCTGTAAGGAGTGCAGAGGGACCTTCCATTTTCTACGCTGATAGGCAGGCTGACAACGTTGCTGCTAATTGAGAGGCAGTGGCTTAGCGCTGCCAGCCTGCAACAGGAAGTGCCGTTACTTTCAGAATCTCCATGTAAAAAACTTTGCAACAAAGTAAAACAAATGATTTGTTTCAGAAACTGTTAACAGTGAGTCAGGTTGCCAAAACAAATTGAAAAATAGATTTTGGGATTACATACACTTCACCTGTTTCTGCTCTTTCCACTGGTTTCTGCTTTAGCTCAGTAATAATGTAAGCTCAATAACAATGTATCTCTTTAACAAGCGAAGCATGGCGTACTGTTTAAATATTCACAGAGACACATTGTGTGTCTTTTTAAGAAAAGGGATTTATTAAAGATACATCCCTGCGTGTTTTAATCCTTCTCTAACCCTATCAGAATCCCCATTTCTGATATAAGGGAATTGTTCTGTCAGATAAAGTTTTCAAAGGGGTGTGCAGCCATCGTGCTGCTTCTGGATGGGAATACATCAAACAGCAGCCCACACACCTTGCCATTCACAGCGGGCCAACTTCTAATGAATACAAAAAAGTCTGCTCCGGCTGCAGTATCCCCGGCTTCCTGTTTAATTAACTTTGATTCAATCCGTTGTGGCAGCTCCTGGTTTAATAACTACCCAGAATTCAGAAATTATAGTTCCAGCTATGGAAAGAATGTTATCTTATTCAACAAATAACATCGGAATAACGCTTAAATCATAACCTGTCACATTTCTGCTGAATCCGCCTTCTGACTGATGTCTTATTTGGACATCGGTATAGCAGTTCTCAGTGACTTCCTTCTAGAAAACAGCCTCCGGTGTCATTTGTTGACTGCGGTGTTACATAAATAGCCCAATGTAATCAGAAGTGAGTAATATTACAGGGAATTCCTGGGCAGCATTGCACTGTGTACTTGTCATTGTACAGAAGATGATGTACAGGAGGTGGGTGGGGAAGACAAGCAATGTATTCGCATTTTTCAGTTATGCAGGTTTTTGTGTATTTTGGAAAGGTGCGGTTAAAGGGAAACTAAAATGATATTGGGTCATTTCTCCTTTTATTTTATATATCATTTAAATAATATTTTTTTTAATAAGAATGATAAAAAACAATACACATACACACACACACACATACAAACACAGTAAATATGATGCTTGGTCCACTTCAACTGACCTGATTACACCGAGATAAAATCTAATGGGTTACTGTGACTTACTGTACTATGTACACCATCCTAGCATTGGCTGTTAAATAAACCAGACCCTATTGTATAATACACAATTCTGATGCATAAGAGCCCAGTCTTAATATAGCCTGAGCATTGCTTTCTGACGTATATGGACTGATTGAATGAAGTGTGCCACCTGGTGGTCAGACATGTTAAAATTCTTTAAAAAAACTTTAAGAAAGGGCTTATATGCTTTCGGGGTTCACATATGAACAACCTAACAGCATTTCGGTCATATGTGGCACTGCATTATATCTGTGAAGAATTTTTTCTCATGGTTCAACCTGTTAAAAGGCAGAATAATTTACCTACAATGTACAGCAAGCTATGCAAGTGGATAAATAAAGCAGACATGTAAAGGGTCTCTAGCTAACAGACTACACTTTATTTTTGTTTTGTATTTCCCGGCATCTCAACATTTAGCCTCTATGGGTAACTTTTCCCCTTTCAGTTTTGCTGCAGTTTCGGGCTGGATTCACACTTCTCCATTTCTGTGAATTGTGGTAATGTTTGCATGCTAACATGTGTTGTTTCACGTGTGAATATGCATTGTGCTAAGACAGCCTATTCATATTGAAAGGGAAGCCAATGTACAGACATGGACCGAAAACTGGCATGCAGCATTTCTTTCCAGTACAACACACTACAACGCACGCTAGTTAAAGTGCCTTGTGATGTGCTGTAATGCATATGTGTCAGAGAAATTCCCCTTTCCGATGGCACTCCACCCTCCCACCGGGCAGCCTTATGAAATAGAGTTGTAGAAGCATTACAGATTTGCGCTATGTTGCTTGAGATTCTTTTTACAGTGGCATGTGCAATGGAGCTGCATTGCCTTGGGTGCCATTCAAAGTGAACAGAAACAGAGGGGAAGCTATTCAATGGGGACACTTGTTCTGGTGAAAACTTTATAAGGGGGGAATTCCGCTCACTTTGGAGAAATTTCCTCTCAGTCTGAGTTGTGTCTACAGGATAAGACGTTAAAGGAGAACTATGAGGTGAGTGCTTTTCACTCACCTCATAGTTCTACCCGACCTGTGACAATGAGACTGTCACAGGTCGGCTCAGTAGATCGGGAGGTGAGCAAACACATACCGGGGTTCGCTCACCTCTCGATCCTGTGACAGGGGAGGGCCTGGATTCCCCCCCTTCCCGCTCCGATCCGCCGGTGTTCGCTCACTTCTCGATCCTGTCACGGCTCTCTGCCGTGACAGGGGAGGGGATGGATTCCCCCCTCCCCGCTCTGCCAGCGCTGACTGGCGGAACGGACGGGGGAGGGGGTGGGTACAGCTGGCTGTGCCTCTAGATAGGCAGAGCCAGCTGTCACTCACGCAGCTGGGCGGATCTCGACATCGATGTCGTTTTTTTCCTCCCGTTACCCTAAGGAGAACTATGGGGAAAAGCCCTGACCCCATAGTTCTCCTTTAAGGGCAATCTCCCCAGTTTAAATGAAATGACTGACCTGATGAGGGTTTTATCCATTCTCTACTCTGTCTGCGGTGCAGTGGCTTAGTGATTAGCATGTATGTGTTGCAGCATTAGGGTCCATGGTTTAAATGTTGGCCATGACACTATCTGCATGGAGTTTGCAGGTTCTCCTTGTGCTTGGGTGGGTTTTTTCTCAAACTCCAAAGACGTGCTCAGGCATCTCACCCTGAAAAAAGTCATTTCAGGGAGGTGTCCTTCTCATTTCAGGGAGGTGCCAATTCTGACCTGCTGCCGTCAGGATAAAAAAAAAGACAGAACAACAGACGGCATAGAAATTGCTATTGGCTATTTCAATTTGCAATAGCCAATAGCAAGCTGGCTATTGCACCCGACCATTGCTGTTGTCGCTCTATCTCCCTTCAGCTGCATATGAATCTACATAGACCCGCCTCTGTCCCGCCTCTCTGGAAGCTCCGGTTTTCAGTTAGTTAGAGACACAACACCGGTCTTGACATTTAAAATTTAGTTATATGTGCAGCTACCCCGAAAATAAGACCTAGCGCTATCTTCAGGGATTTTTGTAATATAAGACCTACCACAGAACTAGGTCTTATTTTCGGGGTAGGTCTTATATTACAGAAATCCCTGAAGATAGCGCTAGGTCTTACTTTCGGGGTAGGTCTTACTTTTGGGGAAACACGGTAGTTATCTTGAAGAATATTAAAAGCACCAGCAACACACTAAAGACATTACCAAATCTATACATTCAGACTCATTTAGAATGATAAAGCCGGGCTTGTGGAAAACCAATCAATTTCTGAGCTATATGAAACTATTAATTCCATACGACAGTGTAGAGCTGGTAGCCGAGCTTTATATAGAAGAGCCTCCTCAGAACAGTGCAGATTGTAGGACTATCTTGATGAGCTCTCATTGAAAACAGGGAAATCGTAAAGACGAAAAGAATCTTACCTAGTGACCGCTCTTTCGTCTGATTGGTTGATCTGACGACGGGGAGGCTGGCCCTTGTTCGGCTGCCCCTGACAAAAGGCAATGTGGACTCCCCTTCAAACATGGCGTCTCCTGAGTCAGCCAATGCCTCCGAGAGTTGTTCAGCCGGCTCTCCCAGGCTTGGCTGAGGGCTGGAGGACAGCTTTGGGCTCTTCGTCTGAAAAATAAATTGAAACATCACAAGATTAGCTTGGAAAAAGAAACTTGGACTGGCACCTATGCACACATTGAGCAGCCCACACCTGTGTACACTTAGAAAACCCACATCTGTGCACACTGAGTATCCCACACCTGTGTACACTAAACAGCCCATACCTGTGTACACTGAGCAGCTGAAACCTGTGCACACTGAACAGTTCACACTTTTGCGCACTGAGGAGCCCACACCTATGCAGATTGAGCTGTGCACACTTTTGCATACTGAGCAGCCCACACCAGTGCACACTAAGCAGTACACACCTGTGAACACTAAGCAACCCACAACTGTGCACATTGAGCAGCCCACACCCATGTACACTAAGCATCCCACTCCTGTGTACACTGCGCAGCCCACACTTGTGTTCACTAAGCAGCCCACACCTGTGTCCACTGCACAGCCCACACCCATGTACACTGAGCAACCCACACCTGTGTACACTGAGCAGCCCACACCGGTGCACACTGAGCACTTCACACTTTTGTACACTGAGCAAGCCACACCAGTGAACACTGAGCAGTACACACCAATGTACATTAGGCAACCCACACCTGTGTACATTGAGCAGCTCACATCCATGTACACTAAGAGACCCACACCTGTGCACACTGAGTAGCCCACACCTGTGCACACTGAGCAGCCCACACTGGTGCACACTGAGCAGCCCACCCCTGTGCACACTGAGCAGCCCACACATGTGTACACTGAGCAGCCCACACCTGTGCACACTGAGCAGCCCACACTGGTGCACACTGAGCAGCCCACCCCTGTGCACACTGAGCAGCCCACACATGTGTACACTGAGCAGCCCACACCGGCGCACACTGAGCCGCCCACACTTGTGCACACTGAGCAGCCCACCCCTGTGCACACTGAGCAGCCCACACATGTGTACACTGAGCAGCCCACACCGGTGCACACTGAGCAGCCCACGCCGGTGCACACTGAGCAGCCCACACCGGTGCACACTGAGCAGCCCACACTTGTGCACACTGAGCAACATGGAACAAATGATTCCCAATGGTGTAAGCAACAGAAGTAGCTATAGTCGTAATGATTACTTCAGTTGTATGTGATTGATTGCTGCTATGTGCTATAAATGTTACTTGTGTAGCTTACAGCACAGAGAGACACTTGTTCCATTTGTATAGTAAGCAACTAATGCTAGAGCTTTTAGTAGCATGACTTAGATCCTAAATATGAGCCGTGCAGCTCTAGTCCTAGAATCTACACTGAACAAGGCCCGGCTGTCCTCCACTTGATAAAATATATGATTCCTTTCCCTTTCTTTCTGTTATTTCTGCAACTCAGTACTTCAGGCAGTGATCCTGCCAAAAACAAACTTCCTGTCCTGGAGTACTCACTCAATGTACCGTATCTTTGGAAGAAGCAGTGTACCATAGGGGTGGGGATGTTCTGTAGTTCACAGAGGTGAACTGGGCAGGGCAGATAACGCTGCGTGAGATAACATTGCACGGTGCACAGGGAGTTATTAGCTGACTGGATCAGCAGCAGGACCAACAGGCATTTATTTGCAGTTAAAGAACAGATATAACAAAACGCTTTTATTGGTATACTGTATATAAGAGAGAAGTTCATTGTTAGGGTTTACGTCCACTTTAACAAATATGGCGTTTCACATTAATATGGTGTCCCCCAGCTGTGACAGATAAGTGAGTGACAGATCCCCGGAATACTTTGTAACAATGTAAGTGATTACTGCCGCTTTGTTTAACCAGATGTATTATGTTATTAAATCTATTTCTACATAGCTCGGGATTCTAAGAATACGTTTTATTAGTCGGAGCGCGCTGCCTTCCAACCGTTGCCGGCTTCTGTTGCCGCTATTAAATCATAATTATATGACAGAAATAACCAGCGCTGAAAGAGACCATCTGGAGGTCACGTCTGTGTCATGTCGCCCGTACAATATTAGGTATAATCTGGTTCCCGCTGTGAAATCGACTGCTCATGCTCACTCTGTAATTAACAGGACCCGCTCGCCTCAGTTTTCGCCAGGAATATTATTCCCCGTTATAGTAACAGTAGAACTTGTTCAGGAAATTTCCACGTGTTACCTGCATAATGGTTACCCAAACTCTACAGTCCAAATAACAGAGCCCCATGGGGAATGTAATCAACTATATGGCATTATTATTGGAAAATGTTATGCCAGATTAGGAGCTGGAAGACACGGGGGTTGAATTACTAAAGGAGATTGTTTACTTAACAAAGTGAACGTTTACTTTGGAATGTGTATATTCAATTAACTTATTAAATAAGGTGAACCTGGTACATACCCAATCATGGTGAACCTGGTGAATACCCAAACATGGTGAACCTGATGAATACTCAGTCATGGTGAACCTAATGAATACCCAGTTATAGTGAACATGGGAATACCCAATTATGGTGAACACCCAATTATGGTGACCCTGGTGAATACCCAATCATGGTGAACCTGACGGATGCCCAATCATAGTGAACCTGGTGAATACTCCATTTTGGAGAACCTGGTGAATACCCAGCCATGATGAACTTGATAAATACTCAATCATGGTGACCCTGGTGAATACCCAATCATGGTGAACCTGACGGATGCCCAATCATAGTGAACCTGGTGAATACTCCATTTTGGAGAACCTGGTGAATACCCAGCCATGATGAACTTGATAAATACTCAATCATGGTGAACCTGGTGAATACCCAATTAAGGCGAACCTTGTGAATACCCAATCATGGTGAACCTGGTAAATACCTAATCATGGTGAACCTGATAAATACCCAAATCACTAACCTGCCGAAGGCAGCCGATTTAATAACCTGGCCGAAGTGAGCCGAACCCTGTTCCTCTATTCACTCCAACCGAGATGTATGGCTGATTTCAGCCATACATCATGCGGCTTCGGGTCCCTTTGGTTCACCCGAACATGCTATTGTGAATAGCCCGTACAACAGCCCTTTGGTTCGGCCGAAGTGAGCCAAAAGATTAGCAGAGGCTCCGGCTTAATCCTTCTGCTCAATAGTGAGTAACCCCCTAGATTTTTGCTTGCACATAATTTGATGATTAAAGTGAATATAGCTTCACCTTCTTAATAAGCTCAGCGCAATTCACTTTGCATAGTGAACTGTCACTTTTCTAAGGAAATAGTTTCTGTAAATCAGCCCCAGAGTGTGCGCAGGGCAGCAAATGTCATAGTTCATCGGAGCCTCAGAGCTCTAATTTTAAGCCTAAAAGTTGTCCTCTGACATAGTCATTCAATTAGGGTGTTTCAAAGCAAAGTCCACACAGATATAATTATAAGTGAAAGCATATCTAAACCGAAGGCAAAAACCATGTCATATATTGCAACTTACCAGTCCTTAGATGTGGTGGCTGTGTTGGTTTTATTTTTAGGCTTTTTACCGTGATTGTCATCTGGTGATTCAGCCTGTTACACACTTTCTGTCCTAGAGTGACAATGCTTACTCACTGTATGGAGGAGCAGCACTGACACATTAGGCTGCTTGCTCCTAATTTTAACAAATACTGTTGATTCTGCCAAAGATCTAGTGAGTGCTTGACTTCTTGTGCTCTCTTCCACTGCTGAACTGAAATACCTGTGTTATCTACTCTGCCCAATTCTTTAAGCCAGACTTCAGAAAATGTCCCCTCTGTGTTATGGCAATGAGGAAGACGGAGATGTTCTGTAGTCCAACATAAGAGAACTGGGCAGGGCTGATATAACTTCATAGGGAAAGGGATTTCAGTGCAGCACAGGCAGAGACCACAGGAAGTTAAAAGCCCACTGGACTTCTGGCAAGATCAACAGCTTTTTTTTTTTTGACTTATGAATTTTTTGAACAAATATAACTAAAAAATGTTTTCAATTTAAAGCTGAACAGTAGTCAGCTGAAAAAATACACCTCCCCCATACTGAAAGGGTTAACAGTTCATTTTGTCCTTGGTGTAACAAATAAGGTGAAATACTTTAATCTTTGCTCCTTAGGGCTTCTCCCCCTGCTGTACGATCGTTCCCCCAAAGCCACCATCTTTGCCATGATGACCTCGAAAGCAGCTTTCCAAAGTCATCATGTGCAATGCAGGATCAGCGGAAGTGAAGATGTGATAGAGTGATAGAGAGTGGGGAAGAGTGTGTTGGACCTCTGCAGAGAGACTACTGTTTCCCCACAGAGGGCAAGGGTCCCACTCTTGTTGCAAGTGCCTTCCCTGCTTTAAGATTAAATAGAGTCAGTCGAGCTGACTTTAGGTAACCCTAAAGCAGGGAGGACACATGCATGACGCTAGGAACCCTGAGGAGTTGCACACAGAGCTCCTTTTAAAAAAAAAATGTTTCCACATGTACATGACAGGTGGACATGTATGGACATCAATCACGGGTTGTGCAAAGCGCAAAACATACACAGCAACCAATAGGAATTCCCTTTGTGCAGTTCCGCAAGGACAAGATGGATTATGATTGGTTGCCAGATGTATTACACTTTGCACTAAGCACGCTGCTGCTTGTAATTTTCCAATTACCGAGCTTGTAAGTGTGTTGTGTTCCTTCTGAAAATAATTTGGGGATATGTTATGGTCAGTTAAGATGAAAATTGCGCTTAGCGAAGCTCGTTTTTTTGTATAATCTGTTGTTCCTGCGTTTCCCAATTGCAAGCTTTGACATGTGTGTGCCAACTTGTCTTTTACACAGGAATTATTTATAGGTCGGCCTTGTTTTGTCTTACTAATATGATAAACATATGAAGAGAGTGTGGCAAAGGCGTGTCTTTTGCTTCAAGATGCTTTAAGTGTATCTAAAACCAAAAATGAAATATAGTGCAGCTTGCTAGTCCTTAAATGTGGTGGCTGCATTAGTTTTCTTTCTTCAGGCCTTTTTCTCTCCCACTTTGAAGACCGGGTGCAGGTGCAGTGTGCTTTTCCTCTTCAGTCGCAGGAGATCTGAGCTCAGCCGCTGCGGAGAAAGAGGGAGCACTAAGCATGTGCAGGTCTTGAAAGACTAAAGTACAGGGCACCCTTGACTTGTATTTTATTCCAAAGGCGAACTAAGCTTTTTAAGAGACACTGTCACTCTGCCAATACAGGGCAAAGTGATGGTGTCTCTGCAAATAGCATTCCACTGACCCCCTCATACTAACCTTTCCTGCATGTCCTCTCAGTTCCTTTGCTTCCACAGACATCTGAAACACCTGATGCTTCCAGGTATGGAGGAACATGTGATCTGCTCCCTCTTGCACCAATCATTACTCCTACAGCAAAAAGTTTCCCAGCACACTCACCAGCCAGCATGCAAAAAAAACTTGTCTAACTGCTAAGGTTAAAAACAGAGGTTTTAGATACACGTCTTCTGCAGAATATGTTAAAGTCATGTAACTAAAACCTCTGTTTTTAACCTTAGCGGTGAAACAAGTTTTTTTGCATGCTGGCTGGTGAATGTGCTGGGAAACCTTTTGCTGTTGTACTGTTTAAAGCCCTTCCATGTGCACCTTGCTGTAAAGCTGGTTATGAGTTGATGAGTGCGTTTGCCATTTGTTTTGCTTGACTGATTTGGTGCAGTGACACACTGGGGGTCTCAGCTGCCGTTGTGATGTGTGGGGTCCCTTGTGTGTCCCTATGCCTTTAAGGGAGTTGTGCTGCCTCCTGACAAACCTGCACCCAATTCTATCTTTTGCTGCATGTGCTCCAGTACCTCCTTTTGAAGTTTGTGCGTCATTGAGCTGCCATAATGGATAGCAAGAGACTCCTTCCAGCATGGCAATGAGTCTTTATAGCACACATGCGTTGCCTAGTGGGGCATTGCAAAATATGAAGCAGGTAGGTTTTTGGCCCATCAGCACACATTTAGAGCCCAATGAAGATTTCTATGCATGCTTAACGCAACGTGCATCCATGTGCCAAAAAATGCATTGCAACATGTGCGCAAAAATTTGCCCAGACTCATTATATTTTCTAAATCCAAGCGCCATCGCATGTACACAGCAACGCAAAAAAAAAGAGCATGCTAACACTCAAATGTGACACACTTCATTGTAGGTGAGATTACCTTTGTGGCAATGCATGCAAATGTTCATTATGTATTTTTATCCATGTTAGCTAAACCAAACACACTGCATAACTACAGGCAGTTAGGGCAAAAACACCGCACGTCTTGGAAAAAAAGTTTACAAAAAAAAGACAACACAAAAAAAAAGAGAAATAAAGTACTAACTCTCTGAGAGGATTCAATTTTCATCAAGTACCCTTGAATGTCAAGTTCTGAATAGATCGAGGCCAGCATACACTGCACAGCCTGTGGATGGAGAAAAGAGACAACAGAAAGAGGGAATTTGTAGCTGAAAATAAAATGATTTGTGCTGCCTACTTATCCCTGTCATTATCTTCCCCACAATGGGCCACAATAAAGAGGGGTGTTGCCAAGTGTCAATATGGATTAAAAACATTGAACCAACACGAGATAAAGACAGATTGCAGAAAACAACAATATAAACTTCCATTGTAACTCAATAGGAAAGGACGCTAGGAGGTTAAAACCCTACAAGGACTATTGTTGGTTGAATTTACCAGCTCACAGGTAGCATTTTGTAATGTGTCGGCACTTTTATTTATCAGAGTGGTGCTTAAAACGCTACACAGAGCGATAATATGTCTTATCGGTGCTTGTGAGCGGCTTAACGGGTACTTAGCATGTCGTCTGCTGAACTGACATTCTGGGTCAGTGGTAACTTACTTCTAGCCTACGTAGCATCTAGTTAGGTTTTAGAACTAACAGAATTTTTATTTCTGTACTTAAAGGAGAACTATGGGGTCAGGGCTTTTCCCCATAGTTCTCCTTAGGGTAACGGGAGGACACAAACTAGCGTCCTCCCGTCACCCTAAGCTCAGTATACCGCGAGCTACAGTTTGCGGTATACTGAGACGCCGCAGTCGGAGCGGATCCCGAAATCGATGTCGAGATCCGCCCAGCTGCGTGAGTGACAGCAGGCTCTGCATATCTAGAGGCAGAGCCAGCTGTACCCGCCCCCTCCCCCGTCCGTTCCGCCAGTCAGCGCTGGCGGATCGGAGCGGGGAGGAGGGAATCCAGCCCCTCCCCCTGTCACGGCAGAGAGCCGTGACAGGATCGAGAAGTGAGCGAACACCGGCATGTGTTCGCTCACCTCCCGATCTACTGAGCCGACCTGTGACAGTCTCATTGTCACAGGTCGGCTAGAACTATGAGGTGAGTGAAAAGCACTCACCTCATAGTTCTCCTTTAAGATTTCCCATAATTCTCCAGGACCTGAAACTGGCCCGCATTCCCTAATACAGAGTTCAAATTCTATGCCAAGTGATAAATGATGCATTGTGTGAAGGGGTAACAGGTCCTCTTTACAGGTACGGTCTTGGAGGAAACTGTCCTAGTATGCAGCTTAGAGCAGAAGTCTAGGTGATAAAGTAAATCTGTATTTAGCCCACAATGGGCCAAGTAGCATGTTCGCTTTATTGTCTGAAGCATATGGAGCGTGTCTTCCACTCACTCGTCCTCCTTTCTGAGCTGCTGCCGGTCTGAGATTCCTGCGTAAGTTTAAACTTAATGAGCAAGTCAGAACTTACAAGGGTTATGTATGCACCCCTCAAGCCCATGCTTAGCTACGAAGGGAAACTTGTGATTTGTTGTAAGGAGAAGTACCAGGAATTTCTCAAGTGGGTGGATAGTGGACCAGGGTGGAGTGTCGAGGACATACTGACTCTACAGGGCTCTACAGCTCTACTTTAAAGGCTATGGGCATTTAGGTATTAACAAATTCCAGAAAAGCAGTAAATTAACTTTAAAAAAAGGTCTTCAGACCTCTATATCTGCAGGCGCTGTGGAGCAATTAATGCTCAAAATTCACAACAGAAGTGCTGAAGCAGTTCAATTGTTCTCTTAGCAACTCAGCTTCTCCTGCTCCTCCTCCCAGAACTTCTGCTCTGTATTTACATTTAAGATTAGAAGGCTGGGATGCTGCTGATAGACTGCTGGGAGAATGACTTAAGGTGCCCATACACCTTACGATTATCGGACTAAACTTTTCCCCATCCTGCCCCGATTATCGAAAGGTTCAATCAGCGGTAGTTAAAAAAAAAACACCTGGACGACTTGCGGCAATTGACCGCAATTATTTTCGTTTGCGCATGCGCAGTGTTAATCGTACGACTTTTGATGGACAGAAACGCCACCAACCATGCGAACATTGTACGATCGACCAAAGATTTCAAACATGCTTGACCGTCAAAAGTCGTACGATTGTACAGTACTATCGGTCGGGCACTCTATTCACACGTTACGATTGTCGTACGAAAAGTCGATCGTATACAATTATCGTACGATAATCGTAAGGTGTATGGGCACCTTTAGATGACTTCACGGTTTCTGATGTGAACTTTAAAGATTACTTGCTCCACAGTGGCTTCAGCTGCATATGCCAGTGATGGCCTTTTGTACAGCTAGTTTACCACTTGTTAATATTTAAATATTTGAATGTTCATAGCCTGGGCACAGGCTCACTTTAAGAATGGAGGAGGCCAAATTCAGTGTGTTCCAGAATAGCATGTTCCCCTGAGGCAGAAGTGTAAGTGGTCGCCCTTGAGTAGTTTAAGTGGTGCTCTTGTTCTGAAGTGACACACAATCCTGCGGCGAAAGAGAATCATCTCAGCAGCTGGTGTAGGTGGGGCGCTAACGAGAGAATTTTAGAGCTGAGCAGTTGATGCAAAAACCTCTGTCAAAGAAAGCAGAAACCTGCAAGCCACAAGCAAGTGAGAAAGCTTATGATTGCCTGCAGTGTTCCTGCTATACTCATTCCAAAATCCTTTACTGCAGACTGACCTGATAATTAGAAGAAATGCTACCGGCTTGAGGTATGCGTCATCTGCGCAGGGATATTTTTCAGCTTGTTGGAGAATCTCCCTATGTATGACCTATGAAGAAGAAAGGAGTAAAGCATCATGATTGAAATGCTCTCACCCACGGGCATGGATCATGGCAGATTCTGGAGCTCAGACGACTCATTTGAGGATATCTCCTCACCCATTGTTTTTGGGGATATTGCTACCCATCAATGGCCTCCCTCAGTCTACTTAAGACTGATGTAAAAGAATGTAGCTGCACAGAGAAGTCATCAGCTTCCTCCAAGGATTGTTATTCCTTTTGAGTGGTGTACATCAAACTCTGTCAACAAAACATATCCTGCGTGTTCTACTGCCGATCATCTCCTCTGGTGCCTCCATCACATATGGAATCCCCTGCATGTCTTTAGATGTGAATATCTGAGTTGAGGGTCCCAGTGCAGTAAAACTTTATAATGAACCATGTTTCTTAAAATAAACCCAACCCACAGCTCTCTGCCAGAGGAAAGAAGAGAACAGTAGACAGCTAGAGGGGAAAAACACATGTATAATATAATCCGATCCGAGCTGAGTGTCAGGGCGGATGGAGGATGATAGTGCAGGAGGTGAGGAAGGAAAACTCCTTGATTAAGCACCATGCTAAAGGAAGAAATGCTCAGCATGATAAGTCGTGTCCAGATCCGAGGGATCTCACACCCCCCCGCCCCGTGGGAAAGGAAGACTGACTGCTGATGGATTCAGATGATGATACTGCTCATCTGCAAATGTAATTAGAGGACTAGTAAACCTAAAACAACAAGGTACTTCATTGAAAACAGCTACTCAAAACATTAACCAGTATGTAAACGTTCCCCCAGCTGATTAATGAATAACATGGGACAACAGTCAATCAATTAAATGATGCTATACAAGAAACATTACAATTGTGCCAAAGTCAATAGGCTGCCGAGTTTGCCTTTAAACTAAGTTTTATATATTCCTTGAAACCAGTTGTATTAAGCTCCTCACACCGCTTCTAGGCTGGACTGCCCCGTCTTGTCACATGATTCTGAGCACCCTTCCAGTTTTGCTTCAGAGCATAAATGATTGAGAGGGAGGACAGAGCAGCAACCAAAAGAAAATGGTCCTTATTTTTGCAGGCTTAGATTAAGAGATATTAACCAATATGTCTGAATGTTTGAAACATCCAGGTAATGCTATAACCAGTAGTAGTCAGTCACTTTCAACTTTTCTTATTCTGCAATGTTGAAGATGTTTCACCACTCATCCAAGTAGCTTCATCTGTTCAAATGAGTGCCAGGAACATACCCCAGCATTTATAACCACACAGGTAACTCCATCACCATAATCCAATCACCAGGGAGTGTGTCAAGACAGATCCAAGAACATGACATTGTGGGGGGGCTACAAATTCGGTATGTTCCTGACACTCTATAGAGCTGAGGAAGCTACTTGGATGAGTTGCAAAACGTCTTTAACATTAGAGAACAAGTCAAGTTGAATATGACTACCTCTAGCTGTTACATGAAACCTAAACTCCATATGCCGCCTTGGCTTCTGGATTAGAAGGGCTGGACAGTGGATGTGCTTTATTGTCCCTTTATCTCAGTAAAGGTCTAACAATGTTATCAGATTGACTGACAACACAAACTCTGCACAGTTCATTCTGTATTTATTACACGCTGACTAGAACCAGCTATAGGCTACCTACAGTTACTTTTCTCACACAACACTGCACAAGTGTTAATTGGTATCTTCCAACACACACACACACACATTATATATATATATACAGTAAAGTAGCAAGGCAATAATTAATACAAAGACAAGTTGTGTACACATCTGAAGTGTAGAGGCTCTTTGGCAACCTCTTACGGTACATAAAAAAATGGCTGGTTTTATGACATGTAATTAGAATTGGGAGGTATTATGTCCTTCTTACTAATCATTTCTACAGTACTTTCCTTAATGCTTAGTTTCTTGTCCTCTATGGTTAATAAAGTGAGCACATCTCTAGGATGTCTAGATATCTTGGGGGAAAAGGGTAATTTTCTTCTTTATTTTCCCTTAGCATCTATGGTCCTCATATTAAGTGCCTGACAAGACCTTTAAAAAAACTTTATTAATGACAGAAGATTTGTCAACCTCTTACCCTTTTCATGTTTCTGCTCCTTCAACGTTACCGTGCAAATCACTATTCACTTAGTAGCGTGAAGTCTCTATCTGCCATATCAAAAACTGGATATGTAAGTAATAAGTAAGCTGCTACTTTAACCAGACTCTTATTATTTTGTAGAATAAATAGACGTTCCTAAGAGGGATTGAACAGCTAAGCTCATTTTGATAACATTCACTGGTCTGAGACTTTGCTTTGTATACATTTAATGGCATTTCTTCGGTTGCACTAATCCAGACTCTCCCTTTTTT